TGTCAAAAGAAAGTGTTTGAAAGTGAGAAAACTAATAAGAATTTGAACTCCTTTCTCCCAGCTTCCGCATACTGAGCTGTTAATGCACCTGAATGCTGACCAGGAAGTAGCATATCTGGAAATGAGACTCAGCAAATAGTTTAATTCTGAATTCCCATGTAATCCTGGCCCTCCTTGCCAACAAGATAGTGCCATTTGGGATAGTCGGTTTTGTGATGTGGATACTCTCCACTAAGAACTGAACTGAAACCACCAACTCATTTCACATATGTCAACAAATAGCCATTAAATGATTATGCCTGTAAGTCACTATGAACCTGGCTTGGATTTCAAGTGGTGACATAGAGTAGAAAGTCTCTGAATCCCATTACTAATCTCTTGAGCCATTGAGTCGGCAAAATATTCTATTCTATTGTGGTCAATTCAGGATTTTATACCTCAGAGTTGTAGGAATGTCATTTAAAAATGGTAGTGGGTGTACTTCTAGCTGCCATTTTGAATGCTTGAATGCAAGCTTGAAAAATGTGACATTGTTATGTAATTTGATTACGTTGTTTCAGTTCATTTTAGATAGGGTCCGCATTTCAAGAAGCACATACTGAACATCGTACTGTGATTTTCACCATTATTAGCAGGCTCTGCGGTGACGCTGAGAATTAAAAAGGCACGGGGAAAGAACCGGTTCCTCACCCCCAGATGTGAGCAGTGTTGAGGTACACACGTGGGGCAGTGTTTCTGCCATTGCCTCTGTTGAACTTGTCCTTGGAAAAAAATATAGGACTGTAGTCTGCGGGGCTGCCAACCTTACGTCTTTCCCCAGTGCTAAATGAAATAGAATGAACCTATTTTCACCACTGTATGCCCCAAGATGAGGCCTCCTTTTTTTAAAAAATGACAGTGTTTACCATTTTAATTTTTCTTTGTTCTTAAGATTAAAAAAGCCACAAATATAAAAATTGACCAGTACTCTGTTTAAATTTAGATGTTAAAAATTAACATCTTCAGCATCAGGGCTCATCACCCAAATATTTCTTCTCACAATTTTATATGCAGTCATTCATGACTTCTCAGTATAGCGTTTGTGTGTCAAAGTAATGTCTCTTGTGAGTATGAATGATTGTGCATGCAAAATAGCTGGTGCAAATGTACAGGGAGGTTTGTCTCCCTCCAAAATTTAGCCCAATAAGTTCAGTCAAAAGCAAAAGGCTAGTTGGAAAACAGACACATCATGGTCTTGAGAGGTCTCCTACTACTTTTAAAATATTACAATATAACAATCTGCCATGGTATTATCTCACTGAAAATGAAGCCAAATATCTTCCTGAAGGAAAGGTAGATAATTGTTTTGTTATATACCAACATTCTAGGATTGTGCTTTATTAAATATAGATATCACTATTATTTTCCTTAAAACCTGCTTTCAATTCACCCTAGGGTAGCTAATTGATGTGGGCATAGTAATGTGATTTCTCAAAGTTGTATACTTTTTGTAGTGGACACCTATAAATATTTGTATTAATCTACCACATCTTACCCAGCAAATAATTATAAATCCAGATTTATAGGAGTGCGTGTTTCTCCTTAAAGCATGTTAGGGGTGAATAATTACCTTTTGTTGCCTTGTTTAAGTCTTTTTATTCCTATTTCTTCTGAGGTCATCTAGTGATGAGGGTAAAGATAACTGACTGGAGGTGGGATCCTGCTTAATTCCATCAAATTGATCTTGATCTGAGAAGTTATTTCTGCCTTCAGCTTGACTGGAGCTTTGTAGTAATTATTTCCCATACTTTCCAGGAGCAAATGCCAGCATAATTATAGTCAGAACTTGGTTGCTGAAGGTGCTAACCTGAATTGTAATGCCAGGATATAACTGGTGTTTTAACAGCCTAATTAATTTGTCTCCTGAACGGCAGGGCTGGGAATTAAATAGGGTGTGCAGCACTATTGACTTATGAAAATGAAGGAAGTGGGAAGGAAAAGAGAAAATACATTAATTGTTTAGTGGACGTAAGCCAGATCTACACTAGAAAAGATTTGTTGGTATAGCTAACCTGGCGAACCTTCCTAGTATAGATTAATCTTGCAAAAAAGTGCTATTGCCAGTGTAGTTTATATCAGTTCCCTGAGCAAAATAAGCTATACTGCCAAAAGTACCTTTTTGGTCTGTATAAATGTGTCTACAATAGGGCTTTTACCTGTATAGAAATGTAAAAAAATCACCCTGCTAACTGACAGTACTATAGTGGCAAAAGTGTCTAGGGTAGACCTGGCCTTAATGTACTATACAACTATTTTGTAAAGCAGGGCTGGGCAAACTACGGCCCGGGGGCCGCATCCAGCCCTTCAGACGTTTTAATCAGGCCCTCCAGCTCCTGCCGGGGAGCGGGGTCCGGGGCTTACCCTGCTCCGGTGCTCCAGCCGGGGAGTGGAGTCGGGGGCTTGTCCTGCTCCGCGTGTGCTGTGGCTCTGCACGGCTCCCACAGCTCCCATTGGCTGGCAACCATGGCCAATGGGAGCTGCAGGGGTGGCACCTGCGGATGGGGCAGCACACAGTGCCACCCGGCCGCACCTCCACGTAGGAGCCAGAGGAGGGACATGCTGCTGCTTCTGGTAGCTGCTTGAGGTAAGCGCTGCCCAGAGCCTGCACTCCTCACCCCTTCCCGCGCCCCAACCCCCTGCCCCAGCCCTGATCCCCATCCCGCCCTCCGAACCCCTCGGTCCCAGCCTCCTTCTGCATCCCAGAGCCTTCACCCCCAGCTGGAGCATCCTCTCACCTGCACTCCAACCCCCTACCCCAGCCCAGAGCCACCTCCCCTACCCTGAACTCCTCAGTTCTGGCCCCACCCCAGAGGCCAACCCCCAATTTCGTGAGCATTCATGGCCCACTATACAATTTCCATACCCAGATGTGGCCCTCGGGCCACAAAGTTTGCCCACCCCTGTTGTAAAGATTCATCTTCAGAAATCAATATTGACGGCTTTGTTCTTATGTTACTGTATTGTAAATGTTACTTTTTTGAATAAGATTTGAATTTGTTTTAGATGTTTAGCAACCCTCTGTCTGCAAAGAGGAACACTTTCATCACAGATTTTAGTGATGCCACTACTAGACACTCAACAGGCCAACAAAAATTGTGGGTCTTGGAGAAAAGAAATGGTACCCTGTTAACTTTGGCTTTCCATTGTGATTGCTGCTCTGCACTGAGTTAAGCCATTAAAATTGGGCTTCACTAACATACAACCATACTGCAGGAAAGAAGTTTCATCTTAGATCAATGACTCTTTTCTTTGACATTTATATTGCAGTTACATCTACACTTCTTCCTGACTCATGGGGCAATGTTAGGTCATCACTCACTTTGAACCCCAGATAGATTGTGTGCTGCCATATTTTGTTATAACTGAAACTTTTAATTTTGCATCTACATTTTTTAATTCATTTGGTTTTGTATCTTATTGTTCAGAGCCACTTTGATTACCCCATCCCTCCTCCAACCCCCCTCCCAAATAGGAAGTAAATATGTTGTGCTTCAAGCAACTCCTGCCCTCTTCGAGCCCCCATACTCTGGGCCCAGTTGTTCCACTCTCTCCCTTGAATAGACACTTACTCCCATAAATACCTCATTGATTTCAACTGTATTACAGTGGGCCAGTAGCCCCACTATCATTAAAATTGTTACTAGCTTACTGTTTAATTATCTAATGAGTCTTCAGGGGACTACTCGCAGACTCAGGCCTTTATTCTGCAAACACATGACTTCTTCAATGGAACTACTTACATGGCTAAAGTGGGCACATGAAGAAGTGTTTACAGGATCAAGCTCTAAACTTCTACTCAACACTAATAGGGTGGAAGAACTGGGCTCTCAGATGGTGTAAGAGGCCTCATTATAGATGCATCTAGTGTGAGTTTATTAGGTGTGGAATTGGGCTCTCGGGTTTCTCTCCCACCACTCCAGAGCAGGTATCATTTGGCCCTAAGTATTGTGTGTGTTACTTTCTTGTGTTTGGAACACATACGTTTAAAAAAAAAATGGAGCAGAATGGGTGATCCCACTTGTCTGGTAAGAGCAGCACTAGAACAAAACCATCATCACAATGTAAGAGTCTCAGTCAAGTCTCTTATGACTCTGTAGTAGTCAAGTCAGCTAAAATGTCCATTAAGTAATGGTAAATTATCATTGAAAATCTCTGGAAATTTATTGTATACAAAAGCAGCACTGAATATATATTTTAAATAGCAGTCAAGGAAACTGGCTGAAACACCTAGGAACATGCCCAGCATGACAAGTGAAGGATTAAACTCACAGCTTCCATTCTTAATAGGGGATTACATAGTTAAATCACTACCTGGTACTTGAATTTGTTGAATTGAAGTCTGTTGATTGCAGTGTGATTATTGGCTTTTGTGCATTAATAAAATAATGTTACTTTGTTTTGCTATGTTTCAGATTGTGAAATAATATTTAGGCTTCAGTCACCCTAATATTTAGGTTTCAGTGTTCAGTAAAATGTAAATCAGATAAAAGTTTAAAGTAAGAAGGATTTTTTTATTTTTCCTGCAAGACTCAGAAGTTGACAGCAACTTAGAATGCTTTTGGTCTCAATCTTACAGTTCTTACTCAAGTGACTAGTTCTATTGATTGTGTTGTTTAGTTGTAAAAATACTATGGTTTAGTGTCAGCATGAGTTTAATTATTTAATTTATATAACTGCAACATGAGCCGTACAAGTAGAGAATGAAGGGCAATCAAAACATCTCCGGGTCTGAGCGTATATGTTGAAAGAGGGGAAAGGTACCTCTTATTAATATGTGCATTTCATGTTGTTTGATTCCTGCCGAACGTTTACTGTTTGGCACAAGTATCCATAAAAGACATGCTACAGCAAGATAATAGCTAAATGTTTAACTGTTAATTTTCTCATTAAAGTGTAATTTGATGCTCATGTTAAATGTACCATATTATGTTGTCTTGATATATCTTTCTGCTCTATTGTAGGTCACCCAGCGGGGAATGCTCTTGTTTTGTTTAAAGCACAGAAGTGACTAGAAGATTTCTTGAACATTGGGAATTCTGCAGGTAAGGACTTATATGCATTTAATTGAATCAGTCATTTCATTTATATTAAGGACATAACTATTATTATTAAGCACCAGCATGAAGCAGACACAGAAGAAGAATGGCAGTTTATGAGCTGTAGTAAGAAAAACTAAATAAGAATAATTGAAAATATGCCGCTTTGTAATGGAATGAAAATGTATTTTGAGTGATCTACCATGGGGAAAGGTGGTTTCTGTTCGTATATGCGGGCTGCCACCCAAAACTTGAAAGGTAAGATGTTGCGTTCAGATATAATAATAGGAACCAACTGAGAAGTTACACATTTAAATCGTCAAAGTGTAAATATCAGTACTGTGGCTCTGTAGTTAGCACAGAAAGTACCAGTAGCACCAGGCTTGACTTAATCTGGCTATCGTTGCCCATTTTAGATTTTCAGACAAGAATTGGTGGATCTACAATTTGTATTCAGGAAACATTCCTCCTTCCCTTTGGGGGTATTGCTGAATAATAGCATTTGTACAGAACTAGGTTGTCATTCTCTGATCTTTCGCATGAGATAAACAAGCAGTAGCTCTGTACTGGAAAAACCAGCAGTACTTTGTTTAAACAGTTAAAACCCTGAGCTGTGCAAAGGAGGGAGGATTCTGAGCTTTTCGGTGTGTAGGTCCTGTACTCACTGGAGATGCTGTTATAAACTCCTGTGATGACAGCTGGCACAGAAAATAAAACGGAGTGTCGTTGTTTTACACCAGCTATTATACTGACATTTTTCTACGCAGACAGGCACAATACTGATTACTAGCGTACACTCTTCCATAGCAAAAAGCACGTGCAGTGACAAATTTCACAATAGTTTACAATATATGCTGTGATGGCTTATGAGATATGAACCCTAGGGTCTAGCATCTCAGGCAAATCAGCAGTTTCTGAGCTACTCTATCAACGGAACCTCTATCATCTAATTTGAGAGCTACATGCCAAGAGCCAGGAGTTTCTTGCAACTAGGGAAATAACGGAAAATCTTCCATAGTGAAGTAATAATTCTTGACAGTATGATATTTTATGTTGTTTGAGTGTGACGAAAAGTCAAAGCCTAAGATATAGAAATTATGTTGAGACTCTTACATTCTTGGAACTTTTCCTAGAGCAATTTCACTGCTTAATTTGCGTTTGGTGTTAGAAAGTTTATAGGACCCTGATGCTTTGTTACCTAGGCCCTTTTTTTGAAAAGGAAAAATTGGATGTCTATTAAGTTTAAAATAAAACTGTAACATTCTCTTATAAAAATAGGCATGTTGTTATTTAAATGTCGATGCAATACTATTCGAAGACGTAGGGCAATTCCTGCCTTGAGAATCTTATGTTGTGTACGGACAGCATTGTTTTTAAGAGGGTACTTTTCAACTTTACACATTTTTGAGATCATTAAAATAGTAATTTATTTTCTCTTCTGTTTTCCAAACTCCATTATCATCACATCTCTGCAAGGAAAACTTCCCCCTCACCCCCCCCCAAAGTTTCTCATCTTCCAAAGGCAAAGTTTTGAAATATTTCCTTTTGACATAAACTATAAAACAAATTAAAATGCTGTTGATTTTGAATCTACAGCTTAAGAACCCAAACTCATTTGAAAAGTTTTCTACTTATAGACAGTCCTGGATGCCACAAAACTGATAGCAAAGGTTGGGGCTGCTTCTCTACTACTTTCTTCTTTATATATTCATTTACATCTGCACCAAGTGGGTGAGAAATGTTATTACCAATTTGGGTGGAGAGTTCTGATTTGGTAGCATTTTACATTTTGCGCAGGTGTAAATGACTACATAAGATGCAGACACTGGAGAATGAGTCCCACTGGGTTTTGCTGGGTTCTGGTAATGTGACAGGCAACTTGGCTATATATTACTCGTTCCCGTCTTTCTCTCTGTTAGTGTACTAGCATCATTGTTGTTGCCAAATGTAATGTATGAAGGGACCCATCTGACACCTATGTGCACAGAATGAGTAAAAAAATGAGGGAGAGAAAGGGAGTGGTCACCTGACAATAAACAATATGGTGTTGTCTCTGAAATTCACACAGCACAAATAGTAGATTTTTTTGAAATTTGACTTATCATTAAATACTTAGGAGGAAACTTCCTCAAATTTACAGCTCTGTTTTTAATCTAAAAAAGCATTTATTTTTATGTAGTTTTTGTATTAGTTAATTTTTTTCACAGTTTGTTTACTCAAAGAACAACCATGTTAACAGTCTACAAATATTTGAAGTGTATAAATATTAACAAAGGAAAGCAACTGCGTAGGATATTACAAAGTGGTATTACTGGTCCCAGTCCTACAGTAAATGCTACATGGTCACATGGGTTTGCCTGCATGGTGCTGATTGCAGGATCAGGGCTACTAAGTATTGTCATCTTTCTTGCCACTTTTATAGCCTTCTTCCAAAACTCATGATTATATGCCAGGCTGTTATGTAGCTTGATCTCTCTGAGGTCTATTGATATCTTGTCTATGTACCAAGTCTTTGGCCTCTCCCTTGGTCGTTTTCCATCCACAAGCATTGCAAGAGCCACCCTACCAACATAAGTCTCCAATCTCCACTGGATATACCCATACCAATGTAGTCTAGCCTACGAGGTCTGTGAACTTAAGGGAAATGGGGTCTGATCCTGCAGCATTGAGGTCAATGGGAGTTTTGCCATCCTCATGAGTACGGGAGCAGGATTGATACCATAAAGAGCAAGCTGACTGTCAAGTAAAAGTGAGATCCATTAAATTTTCTCAAGCGAAGTGATAGTAGCTCCAGCCCACTTTTAGTTATCAGTAGTATTTGTATAATCAGGGTCTAAGTCATTATAAGCAGTAGATCATGGCAGTGTGATACTCAAATACATATTTTATTAATTAGGGAAGAGTTGTATATTTCCCTTGCAGATTGCCTGGTATAGATATATGGGGCCAGACCCTGACACCCAGTTTGTGTGCAACTAGTTTAGCTCAGTGGGTGCAAAATTCTCTTTAAGCAGCCTTTAAGCCCTGTATCATCTCAGAGCTGGTGGGAGCTGGTCCAGTCCTCTGGTAGTTCTATGTTATGCTGGCTACCCATGGCCTGCTGGAGCGTAGGAATGTAACGGCCGTAATCATTGTACTGGTAGCCAATGTGGTTTCGGTATAGCTGCTCTTATATTGGCTCAGCAAACCTGGGCTCCCCTTATGCAAGAGACATCCTACAAGGGTTGTTGCTGCTGGGTTTATGTTCACTTTGATTTGCAGAATTGGGCCCTTAATATTTATTAGATTTATAGTCTCTGTGACGGTGAACTAGATGTAAGAGTTCACTAAAGGATAAGTAGGAAGCTCTGAGCAGGGCCATATCTGTTTGGTCTTGCCCACCCATTCCTCCACCACATTTGCACATTCATCCTCTCCACCCACAACTTGAACTGTATTTTGAAACATTTGTAACACACAGATTGTATATCAAATGCTTCGAGGAGCCATGATGTAATGTAATTCTTTTGAACATGGTTCATCGGGTATTCAGTTATGCAATGTTTTAGTGCACATAGCATGAGCTACAAGAGAACAGGGAAAAACCCAGCAAGCATTGTTAAAGTAGTATAGTAGTAACAAGCCAATTCATTAACAGACAGATTAGGAAGACTGCCACCCAAATAAATGCAAAGTGTCACTCAGCAGGCTTGCGTTACTCAGCTTGGTAGCATTATTGAGACATTTCTGTTGAGTTACTGTTCTTGAACATCTTTTCAAGATTGTACAAATGTATTGTATTGTACAAATTACATAAGGTATAAACGTGCTTTGCTATAAATCATAGGGCCAATCTCAATCTCACGTATACTGGTGTAAATTTAGTTAATTCCTTTGAAGTCAATGAAGTTATTCCAGATTTACACTATTGTATCTGGCCATTTCTAAGCTAGTCTGTATTACAAAAGCGTAAATCATAACCAGGATTATCAAAATTTTTGCATTCTGTGAAGACTTTCCTCATTTGGGGTTCAGTTTTGCAAACACTTAGACGTATGAGTAACCCCTCAATAGTCCGGTAGGTGTCTGTATAAACTGTGGCTGCTGATTGCAGTTGCAGACAACATAGCACTGTGAAGAGATGCTCTACAGCCGCTAGCTCAAACTTACTTTCCGAGTATCATAACTGGGGTTGGAAGAATCCCAACAAGTCATTTAGAACACTTGCCTGGTTTTTGTGTGTCTTTGTTTGTGCAAGGTTTTTTTTTTTTACTAGAGAGGGGTCTGTGTTCCAGAATTTTTATCTGTGTTTTGAATCCCCCAAAGTTGAAAGGGAGTTTGGATTTGAGGTTTTGGCTCAGCCTGTTATAGAAATTTGGGCCAGTCAAGAATTGTGATCTGGTTCCAGGTTTCGGTTCTTGACCTTCCTTCCCCAACAACAACAAAAAATTTAAGGATGTCGGATAAGGATTTATGTTTGACCTCGTCCCTAATTTATATCACAGTTTAATTCATTTTATATTCCAGCTACTGAGTGTATTCCAAGATATGTATCCTATGTATCTTGAGCCCATACATAGCAGAATGTGGTTCTTTTAGGTCTATGTATTTATGTTGTGGCTACAAGCATTAAACAGGGCCAGCCTTGTTTTACTTATCCAGCTGCTGAATATGCAAGAGAGTCAGCTTGAATGTTTAAATTCTCTCAGTAAATTTAGAAACAGAAGATCTCATCTTATCAGAAATGTCCAATTATCCTGCCTCGCACCACATTAATGTCATGTAAACATCTTCAGATCCCCAGCAGAAGAAAATCTCTAAGGACCATTATAAGGGCAAAATAAATACTACTGTAGGCTCCCAAATGACTGTAGAACATGTGCAGTATCTCCCGTTTGCCTCTGACAACTTCACATCCCACTGCAGATCCTCTCCTCTTTAATGCTCCTCTATTAGAAGATGAGTAGGGGGTGAGCAGGCCCTGTGCGATGCCATGTACACTGCTTGAGCTCAGAAAGTAGTGTACA